AAAACAACACGTTCAGATCGAGGTGGCGAATATTTTGCAAACGAAAAAATTGGATTCTGAAAAAGTGCATACCGGTGTGCTTTTTCGATTTCTGGAATAAAAAACATAGGTTAATTACGTGTTTTTTCGAGTAAATTTACGTTTTTCCTTGATTTTCGATGATTTTTTTCATTTTTGGTCAACCCACGTCAACCGTCTCCACTGAATTTTTTTTCGAAACTTTTTCATGCTATTGTAAGGATTTTGATAGACCTTTCCAACAAAGCAATAACGATAAATTTCTGTTGAGAAACACGCTCATGGTGATCGTCCCTGCAAATCAACCAAAACATCCAAAATTTTGACCCTTAGGCGCCTATGGCTGTAACCCTACTAAAACGTTTGATTCGGGAAAGGTGCTCATACAATTTTTTACTCCTTATGAGCTGAGGAATCTGTGGTAGGAATATTGACATGGAATTATGGGACACCCTGTATAATAATCCAAATATTCATCAAAAATCTATTATTGCTTTCAAAAATTACGTTCAAAAAAAAATTCTATATTTTTATCACTTGTTTACGTCAAAAGAAACACTTTTTATTTGACAGATGTGACAGTTATGTATGTATCTGGATCATTGTGAAATTCAAACCAAATCAGTGGAAAAACACAATATTTTAAAATATTTTTGCCATTTTACTATTTGAAAATAAATAAAATTAAATATGGAGCAAAAATATATCAATCTAATAATTTTAACTCCAATATTTTGTATTGTTTACCTCAATGTAAAGAGTGCGTTCATTAACTGTCAAAACTTAAAGTTGTACAAGTTTCGCAGTGAAAATTTATGAAATGTGTCGAGATTAGGGAGTCGAGATTTGGACGATGGATATCCGACATTTGGAATTTTCGAAACTTATTTGGAAAAAATATATGTCTGCGATACTTTAATTTAGTTATTGAACAGAAATATTCAAAATATAAAGAAAAACAATTTTATTTATTTTTCATTTTTCACTGTAATATTGTTCCGGAATAAATAGTCCAATTGCCGAAACATTAAGCACCGAAGTTTCAAGTGAAACACTTTGCATTTGACAGATGTGACAGTTAAAGTCGTATTTGTATCATTGTGAAATTCAACCAAAAATATTATAGATCAGTGAAATAACGTAATATTTTTAAATATTTTTGCCATTTTATTGTGAAAAAATAAATAAAATTAAATATGCAGCAAAAATATACCAGTCCAATAATTTCAACTTCGATATTTTGTATTGTTTTCCTCAATGTAAAGAATGCGTTCCTGAGCTGTCAAAACTTAAAGTTGTTCAAGTTTCGCAGTGAAAATTCATGAAATATGTCGAGATTTGGGAGCCGATAATTGGACGACGAATATCCGACATTTGGAATTTTCGATGTTACGACGGAAAAATGGAAAATAATAATATATTTTTGGAAATTTCTTTCTTTTGACAATTGTGAAATGAAGCACAATTAAATTCTGCATAGAATTGTGTATAGAATGATATTTTTAGATGAAATCAAAAGTGTTAAATATTAAATTGAAGTTGAAAATTCAAACAAATAGTCCGACATTTGGGCGAGTGTCCATATAGGAAATGCGTATCTGTTTCGAAGTTGCTTTTTTATGTGTCGCCATCTATTGATAAATAGTCAAATTACAAATTTACTATTATCTAAGAGCTCCTTTATTGCATTTCGTGCAAAGTTCGGATTAAACGATTGACAGGGAGTTTGTTGGAATACACTCGTGTTAATCACGCACAAGTCACGAAATGATGACACTTATTTTATTCAAAATTCAAAACTTTAAATATTGACAGTTGTTCCTTCTTTTTGGCATTTCATAACTTCATTAAAAGGTTCATACATATTATATGGTCAGTCTCAAACAAGCATTCAATCGAATCAGTTCACTTTAAATAAACAGTAAACAAACACAAAGCATACGGTCTTCGCTTCTTTGTATTCTGTAATATTTTCTTTCAGAGTTTTATTGTGTAACGCAGATAAGGTTTGTGAATATACATAGGTAAAATCACACTAAAGACATTTATTTCTAACAAAACATTCATCGCTATATCGAACCAGGAATGAAGTAGGAATGGTTTCCTTTGCATTGATAAAGTTAGGGCACTACTATATAAGGCTAGAGACGTCGACAAACCGAACTTTGATAAATGGGTTTTGTATGGTACGATCTATCTTCTTTGGAAGGTATTTTAGAGCCATTATTCGAGAATTTAGTGCTGTAACGTAAGGTAAAACCTCCATTACATGCTCCATTATCAACCAAATATTGTTGAAATCGATAGCATTTCCATGAAAAAAGGACCATTTTTTTAAAATTCACAAAAAGACACCAAATTTATTATTTCTCGTCCGTTTTTGGATGTATGTTATAGGCGAAGGTCCAAAATACTTGAAACGAGCAACAATTGGTTGGACGAATTGAGAGAAAGTTGGAAGAAATCGACAAATCGGTCCGCCAAAGCATGCTTTTGAAGTTTCGACGCATACTGAGAAAAATGGCCCGTTCAGAAGACAATGGCCCGTTCAGTGTAAAGTGAATGTGCTATTCGATAGCCTATGAATAAAGGTTTATACCAATAAAAACGAATTTAAAATTGTGTGTTTGTTGTTTGAATGGCGAACGACTGAATTTAGTGCAAAGACTTTATGGACATATGTTAAACAAATGAATTTTAGAGCAAAATATTAACAAACGTGAGTTTTGCTTACTATCCCACTTTTATTAATATTTGAACGAATGTTCGAATAAATTAGTTATCGTATTGCATATTTTATTTAAAATATGGCGCGTTTACACAATTTATTTATCCGTTTGATTATGTTTTTTTATTTTGATCTAGACTATTAAATGGATCGATATTACGCGCCAAGATATCGTAAGCAGCGGTAATCGTTTTTCATTTTGATTTTAATGGATCCGCCTTCAGAGTTTTCCCCCATTCGTGTATGTATCTCAAATTCCACAATCCACATTACATTGGATCTGGTGTGCTTTTCGATACCTAAACGGCTTAAGTTGTTTGCATTTGATCCCATCGCTTGATGTTCATCATTTTGCATTAACTCAAATCGATTCAGAAATGAAGAAAAATGAACATTGAATATTTTTTCTTTTTGAACCATATCGTGCACGTAGCGATTCTCAAACCATTTTGTTTCATTTTGCACTTATATGGAAAATGTGATATTTTCTTAAAAACATACTGAAATATTTAATTTATTGGATTTCGTTTGATGTTCGTAAGCTGTGTGTGTACAATAGAGTTAAGTGTACAATTGTACATTGTACGAATACGAATAAACTTGAACATCGATTTAATATTAATACTTAATTTTGCATATTCTTTAAAATCAACAATTATAAAATGAATAAATGACACATGAATAGTGTGCCTGGTAAAATACTTACTGAATTGCTAGACAAAATCAACATTGAAAAACGTAAACTTTTAAAGGAATATATTTCTGAAAACAATTTTTTATATTCTATAGTCACTTTTACTTCAATTAGACATTTTATCGTGTACATTAGTTCAGAGTATTAAATTTATACTACACACAAAAAATAAGAGTGATAGATTCTTTATAGTATGTGTTAGGCACATAGTTTACCACAAAATAAGTAAAATCTACATGTGCAATTGTGCATGCATGGGGAAACTACTACTACATCGAAATTCATATAATACAATCTAATACAAAAATATTTCCATATAATAACAAATAATTTAAGCTGCACAAAGGTGACAATTTATTTCAATGTTCTCATTGGGTAGAGCAGTACTAACGTAATAATTCTAGTACTATTTGAATGCTAATGCTACCTAATACAAAATAATTCAAAGTGATGTCATTTAATACCGCTTGTGAATTTTTATGAATTATCTCTGCGATTACGTTTCTCTATTTGACTGTCAACGCATAAACTATGAACAATAACATTTCGTGTGCGGAGATGAAAAGTATTTTATTATAAAAAATTGGTGTCGTTTCAATTAAATATCATTTTTATTTTGAAATTTATTTTTAATAGCTTACCAAACGAAAGCATCCATTTTTTATAATAAAACAAATAAAAAACTTTTCATCTCCACATACGAAATATTGTTGTTTATGCCTTGACAGTCAAATCGAGAGAAGTAATCGCAAAGATAATGCATACAAATTCACAATCGGTGTTGAAGGTATGTACTTTGAATTATTTTGTTATATGTGGCATTAAAGTGGTACTAGAATTATTACGTTAGTACTGCTCCCTATGAATGTTCTACTATCTTTTTCGATTGCAAACATTTTTAATCGAGCACTTTGCGTTCATTTTTTACAATGTTCTAACATATTTATTTTATAATTTTATTTTGTTTTGGATTTTGATGAGAAATTATCATATGGGGCTCTATGGATCATAGACTATGATCATTGCTTGACTTTGTGGTTATGGTTTGCAGAGGCGTGCGTCACCGAATTATTTGATCTGAATCAATACGAAAATACCATCACCTGAAATTCATCTGAAAAATGAAAATGTAACTACAATAACTGATGTACTAAATAAATAGATTTAGTTAAAATATGTTATGAGGACCTTACAAATTCTCATCATACACTATAAAAAATTAGGTTATGTAAATGACAACTGGTGTGTATTTGACAACAACACGCATATGAAAATTGTTCGAATTTTTTAACATTTAAAATTCCAGTTGTCATTTATGTAACCTAAGTAAGCAAACTTGTGCCCTCTGTGTATTTGAAAATAAAAGGTTTTCAATTAACACTCATCATAAAAAGTACATGTAAATGTAAATTATAGAAAACATTATTTAATATTTCTTAAAACTAAATTTGATACATTTCAACGGACTCGTTCAAAAAAACTTATATATCAAACAAAGAAAATTTAATAATCTTCTGCTATATGCATTGCAAATATTTTATGTATAGAGCTTTTGTTAAATCTCACACATACTCAGAAACTTCAAATAAAATAACTTTGACCAATCAAAATGTCATGAAAAATCATATTTTTTTTGATTCCAGGGTTTTATTGAGTGAAGAATATGCATCAAACCGACGAACACTCCGAAGAAATTTACGAACTTTTTGATGGCAATGGCAAACATAACATAAATCAAGGGGAAAATCGGTACTGAAATACTAAATATACTCAGAAGTATTGAAAAGTACCGAAAAGTACCGAAACGTATCAAAACATACCAAAACGTACTAAATAGGTATTCGTTTCAAAAAAATAGTGAATAATTTTTTCATGTTTTCGACTGTCTTTTTGGTGTTACATGGCAAGCTTGTATGAAACTCTCGGAGACTCGGTATAATGCACAAAAAAGTGAATTTTTTTTTTCGATATTTTTGTGCACTATACCAAGTCTCCGAGAGTCGAGAATATTGAAAAAAAAATTCGTCTTTTCGACTGTCTTTCTGCTACTACATGGCAGGCTTATATAAAACTCTCGGAGACTTGGTATAGTGCACAAAAATATCGAAAAACATTTTTTCACTTTTTTTGTGCATTATACCGAGTCTCCGAGAGTTTCATACAAGCTTGCCATGTAAAACCAAAAAGACAGTCGAAAACACGAAAAAATTATTCACTTTTTTTTGAAACGAATACCTATTTGGTACGTTTTGATACGTTTCGGTACTTTTCGGTACTTTTCTATACTTCTGAGTATATTTAGTATTTCAGTACCGGTTTTCCCCTTGACATAAATGCATATTTTTTTTTTGAATAAAGATAAAGATATATTTACGGTTAACATTTCTAAGCATTGTGGGGAAAATATCAAAACATCAGAATTTGAAAAAGTCGACTGAACTACACGGTGTAGTCTACACCAACCCAAAATTACAAATTTTAATGGAATTTCGATAAGCGACATACATATTGAAACCAGTAATGTGCGAGCAAAATTTTCCAGGGGGGGTGATTTCAAAGTTTTCTTCAAAAAACCCTTGGAAATCGAGAAAAATTTCGTTTCGGACGAAAATCCCCAGCAAATCGGAAGAATTTTGATGTCACAGGGGGTAAACCCTCTCCCCCTCCCCTTCGCACATTACTGTATTGAAACACATCATTATCATTCTCATCAAATAGCATACATAATTGATGCACTGAGGATACGTAAAGTAAACGTGGCAAAATGAACAAAAAGAATACAAGGGGGATCCATTTGCCTATTGGTTATTTATTTAACATATCCAAAATGAACAAACTCGGCAACGGAAAAGAATTTGTATCGAGACAGTAACATACTTATCTGTATGTTTTTTTTTTTGCTATTTTTGTGAGTACAAAGTAGAGTATTCACAACGAAGGTATTTAAACTTAATAACTTCCACTTATTAAAGTCAATTTCAAAAAAATGTCTAAATGATTTTATTTATTTGATTTTTCTTGCTTTCACTGTAACGTTAAAAATGACTGAAAAACATAAATGCTGCCCTAAATCCAACTGTGAACTGACAATGGACAATTGTTTCTATGTTAATGTGGGATTTGGAATGTTGAATGTTTGTGAATGATCGCTTACTTTTCTTATTTGCTTTGAGTAATAATAGTTCTTATGAGTAAAATTTGGAAATATAATTTGTTTTACAGTGCTATGGAAAGATGAAATGCTCTTAAAATTCTATAAATAAACTAAATTGCGTGTTTCAGGGGAATAGCGTGTTTATTCCAAACCGTAACGCCACCTAGGCATGTAGCTCTTGAACCTTACATTTTGTATTAACGATCTCAAATTTGTGTGATTTTATTAATAGATATTGAAACAGTTATAAGGTTTAATTCGAAAAATTTGTAAGGTTTTTTGTCGCCAATATTTTACCCTTGCCGTGTTCGATTATCGAACTTCGATATATAAAAAGCATTTAGAGCTTATTGTTTACCACTTTATTGACTGCCATGACTGGTGAACGAATGACATTGCTACCGACATTTTGAGTTGAACGTCGTTGTTTAATACGCAATTGTAATGTTTGAAGTAATCCACTGAGAACATCATTGTTCGGAATTTTCTTGGCGAATAATAAACGCTTCACTGAATCATCATAGGTTAGTAAAGCAACCATATTCTGAAGTAGGAAGCCATAACAGTACTCGATTAACTTGAGAGCATTATATACCTAATAATTTAAAAATTAATTTATTAATTACACTTATCCGAATTTAAAAATGAAACCAAAATTAAAACATACCTTAGCATGAATATAAATTGCGACAACATTATCGATGTCAATCATTTGTGAACAACGAGCCTCTGTATATCGAAGCAAATCCTCTAGCTGAAAGAAACTTGCAGCCGCCATTAGCTCTAGAATATCTCCAGGTGCAACAACATCAAGCGAATTGCAACCGCCGCTATATAGAAATTGCATGACCAACTAACATGATTGCATAAAAATTAATACAGTAATGTCAATTGAAGAAATAAAAGTTCATTTTAATCTATCTTTTTTATTTTCATGAAATAATTAATCTCGAAGCGAATAATTGAATTAAACTCACTTGGAATGTGTGATACCGAATGTCATTGATTTGTACAGTTGGTGTGTTTCCATCGCTCAGCTTCGAACTTAACATACTTTGAAAGCGCGGTGATGCTGTCACAAGTACAATTTTATGTCCATAAAATACCTTTCCTTCAACTCTGCAAATCAAATGATGTAACATTTTAGTGTTGATATTTTTTTATCATAATTATCGCTACCATTTTTATGTGGGATAATTTTTATAATATATGATAATTATAATTATATTTACCTAAACATAACATCACTTAGTTCGGGATTATTCACAAATTTTGGATCAATGCGAGATCCATTTGCCGATTGAAGTGCGGGCTCCTTAATTTTTTTGATTGCTTCCCAGCCAAAACACGTCGCAAATATATCAGCTAGCAACAGCGTCGTTCCTTCTTTCTACGAACCAACGAAAACGAGAATGTTAAATACGATTTATAAATATTGGTATCCTCAGATTTACATTACCTTACTGTAACGAAATATATTGAAGAGTAACGGTAGACATTCCGAAATGAACTGAGAACTATAGTCATCAGGACACACCTGCAGGAAGTCCTGAAGTAGTTGATCAATAACTGAGTTAAGTCGAAGTTCATTTGCAGCGTTCAAGGCATGCATCCAACAATGAAGTGTCCACGGCACACCCAATGCACGCAACTCAATTGTTATATCTGTTTAAGAAAATAATATATATATATATGTAATAATATGAAACTGTATGCCATCTCTATATTTTAAAAAAACTATTTTATTATGTAGACGTAAGTGTTTATCAAATAAAAAACATCTATCAAGGTGAAGAACGAGTGACGTAACCAAAATATGAAACACAAAATTTATGATATCAATTTTGTGACGAAAATAGTTGGTAGATATATTTTCTGTGTACTGTGAATATAAACTTAATATACATTTGTATATTCGAAACGTTGCAGAAATTCTCTTCTTTTTACTTTGAGTTCATACTGATGCAATGAAGCATCATTGATATCATAAATTTTGTGTTTCATATTTTGGTTACGTCACTCGATCTTCACCTTGATAGAGGTTTTTTATTTGATATCAATAGTTTTTTAAGCGCTATTTTCAATGTTAAAGATTCAAGAAACATGAATTTGAATCTTTTTCAAATATAATGAAAATATGGATTTTTAGGTTATCTTTGGATCAAAATCATATAAATTGTGGTTCATAATAGGGAAAAGTTGTTTTTTCTGTGGTGTTTGGTATGCATATTTTTTTTATCTTTGACTTGGGGCTTAAATTGATGAAATTTTCAAGAGAACATATGCAGTCTTTTTCGAAAAAATGGCCGTGTGCGGCCAACGGTCAATTTTTGGTTGGTTTGCCAATTTGGCCACCCCCACATAAAATTTTTAAGTTGCAATTGGCACCACTCGAGAGCTTACTTTAAGACCTTTCGAACGAATATGCATATGTCCTGGTTATGTCAAGTCTAGGTCCCACAGCGACCGTATGAAATAATGACCATTTTTGCATGACCTTTTGCATAGTTTGCCATTTATACTAACAGTTTTGTAGATTTCTTTTAATTTCATTTGTGACTAACCGCATGCACCTCTCCCAACGATAGTCCACCTTCTGGCCTGGTGGGAGGGGATATAAGATTCGGTATTTTATCGATCTTATGCGAGGAAACTATCAAACATAGTCCACCTTCTGGCCTGGTGGGAGGGGACATAAGATTCGGTATTTTATCGATCTTATGCGAGGAAACTATCAAACATGTAGTTATTTGTTGTTAAGATTTCATATTTCATACATCTAGACATTTTTGTGAAAATTCAAATTTTGGTACATTTGGCCGATTTTTGGTGGAATAGCCATCCAAAACGGTCGATATTTTGTTCGATTTTGTTTGGCTAGTCACAGAGCATATCTACAGAGTCATTGGAGTACGTTTTGGCCCATAAAATACCTCAAATGTTAGAAGTAACATTTGTTGTCCTTTTTGGCCATTTTTGGCCATATGCGCACTTCCAAAGGCCATATCGTGATGACAAGAATTTTCAGGGATATAAGCTATGCGGCATTTTATAGCTTAGACTTGGGCCTAAAAATCGGTGAAATTTTCAAGTGACCATGAAAGGCTAGTTTTCGAGCTAATGACCATAACGTGTCCGGCCGAACGGTAACTTTTTGGTTTTTGGCCAATTTGGCCACTCCAAATTGAAATTTTTGGACCGCAAATGGCTTCATTTGATAGCTCACTTCAAGACCTTTCCAATGATATGCATATGTCCGGGGGGTGTCAAGTCATGACGCTTCGGTGACCATAGGGAAAAAAGTCGAAAAGTGACTTTTAGAGGCCGGCCATGGCCAACATGGCGGCCATATCGAAAAGTGCCGGAACAAAAAAGTCTTAGTTTTTCATGTACTTTAATCCCAGAAAGTTTGAAAAAGATCAGAAACAACTACGCAAAATTGGCCACAGACAGACAGACAGACATTTTGATTTTTCATAGGAATTCATATGAAATTTTTAAAATAATAAATTTTTCGAACGGATTGATCGATTTCGACGGTTAGGAGGTCGTTAGAAAGGTATTGAGCTCTAGAATCCGAATATCGATGTTTCAGGGGTCAACGACCTCTTTTAGTGCCATCTAGGGCCGCAGAACTGAATTTTGACCCTTTTCTTGAAAGGACCATATTTTGAAGACAGGTGGAACGATTTTCGAACTTTGATATTTTTTCTTGATCTATGGCCCAAGGGCTTTTCAACCATACATCAACCGGGGCCAACGGCCTTCTAGGTCTGGATTTCGTATATTACGTGTATATATAGCGAGTTCGACTTTTCAACACACTAATGTGGTTTCGTCACTCGCGCGAACTGCCGTCCGCTGTGATATTACTATGTGTTATATTACTGTCTTTGACACAGGCTTGAATAACCGAATGAGCTAAATATGTATCTTTTTATATTGGAAGAACTTTAAGAGCATCATCTAATGCCATCTATGAATTAACTTGTAACATAGTGCAATTGCAATGTAAATTCATTAGCTAGGACACAAATCAATATCATAAAGTTTCGGTAGTATGTAAATATATACGATATAGTGGTTAGTACTATTTCGGTCTGCAGTGGACGCTGCACGTTAGGTATGTTTCTTTATTAGTGGATTCGGAATAACAGACAGAAACTCTGTGCAGCTAAAATTCGTGTCTGCCGTCCGAATATATTTTTTAGATGGCGTTGTGTCCATTATTGGCCATTACGTAAATACATCTAATTTATAATACTTTGTTGCACTTTTCATTTAAGAAGCTATGTAGTATTTGATCCAAAATTTTGTATGGGGGTACCCTTATTTTTTATTAAAATTTCTTAAAACTCTCCTTATGTTTTTTTGTAAAAAAAAGTTTCACGTCCTTGCCATATCAAACCAGGCATGGTTTCCATACAAAAATCCAAATTTTGGGAGACTTTTGTATGAAAAGTGTGTCGAAAATTATTTGTATCGTAAAAGTTACTTCAGAGTGTTGTGTTGTTGGTAATTCAACTATGTCAATGCGAAACAAGAAGTTTTTTTTCATATAACAAATTTATATGAAAAGAATACGTCCTGTTTCGCTTTGATATGCAACTGTATAATATGTTTTTATTCTAGAGCAATTCAAAATTTAACTGAAATGATTTTTTTTTAAACTATCATTTACCCAAGTGGTTATTTTCTGCGCTATGGTACATCGCTTCCTGTAAACATTTCATTTGTGTTTTTGTCATCGATGGTGGAATTTCGTTTTGTCGTTCAACACTTGGATTTCTGGTGTTGTTATCTCCTTCAGCAAGCATTTCTTCTAATGATAACACCTCTCTGCTAACCGGTGCCAATGGATGCGATAACAATTTACGTAAAGTGACACGTTGATCGTGAGCAGCAGCAACCGATATTGAACTATAGCATCCACGTTGTGCAGTTCCAGAAAAACATAATGATTCCTTGTATTGAGTAGTTAAAAATGCATTGGCACCATGAGACAATAGCAATGTCACGATATCCACTGATCCATATCCACATGACACTTGAAGCGGTGTAAGTGTACATTTATCATTGCTAAGGCATGCACCTCCCTCTACGCTTGCTCCACGCTCCAAAAGAATACGCACTGCATTGTAATTGCCTCGGCATGCCGCAAACGTGATTGCTGTCCAGTGTTGTGTCTCCGGATGAATGGCAGGACAATTTGATAGGCCAATCGAAGGCACTTCTACATTGGGATCTGCATTTGCATCTAATAATTGTTGTATTGCCAATTCATCATTTCGTATAGAAGCAATCATAAGTGCTGTCATTCCAGCTTGATTTGGTGTGTCATATCGTGTTGATGTTGGTAAAAGTGATGAAGCTTGTATTAAGAGTTCGGGACGTCCAGTTAGCATTAAACGGAATGCTAAAGCTATTGTTGCTCTTCGTGCATATTCATTGTCGTCAACAGCCTAGAAAGTTGTTAAACAATTGATATTATAAAATAATTATTATTAACGATTCAGTTATTATAAAACCGTATTTAAAAATAATCTTTTACGTGAATATTCGAATTGGATACTACTGATGACTGAGTTGGGGATTGTTGTTTCATCGCAAAAGCACTTCGTTTGGGTGGTAGCTCTTCGTCAGTTCCAACAATTCGTGGACTGCAATCAACACCCGGAAGCAGAAGTCGAGCCGCTTGCATTATATCATCACTATCGATAATGAGTGAGTGACGATATTCAGCATGTGCTGAAGCAACTCGAAGCCATTCCACCAATGGTGGTAAAACGACGTACGCTCTCTCATAACACAATTCCTGTACACTGCTATTTCCATTTGACACGTTATTACTCTCTGCAAAAATGAAATTATTTTACTGTGCAAAGCAGTAGTGTGCGGGGGGGGTAGAGGGGGGTTACCCCCTGTGATTTGGATGAGAAATTTTTTTCGTGAAAACTATTCGAATTTGCGTGAATACCTTAATGTTTTTAGCTCATCAATGTAGAAAATTGAGGAGAATTATTTCAATTTGCTAGGGTTTTTGGTTCCGAGAGATTTTTTTTCGCCTCAAAAAGTGAATTCCAACAAAAAAAACGAAAATTTGTCTGATTTGCTAGAGAATTTTTTGGTTTCGAAAAATCAACCCCCACCCCCCGCCCCGGAAAATTTTCCTCGCACACTACTGGTGCAAAGTAATCAAAGTAAAGTCACAGATTACAATTTTTCTACTATACTGAATACCTTCGTTATGTTCCAATTGTGAGCAGCGCATAAAATAAAACAGAGCTACCAGCGCAGTGTGTGATAATGCTGTGTGATTGAATTTGTTTTGAGCCCGAAGTACAAGGTCTTTTAATTCAGAAACGTTACCAACACAGGTGGTCAGTAGACATGGTTCCATTGAATTGGCCGGAATGTTTGGATTTGAACCAATTGACGACTGACTGGCCCAACGCGGCATTGTAAGAGCACCTGATGCAACTCGGCCTGCATTCAAGTGAGCATAAGGTTGTAAAAGTCCCCACAAGTCACCACTGCTAGCAATTGAATGTTCCAGTCCGGTTGCTGTTAACGATAAACTTGAATCGGATGGCATGCACTGTAGCAGAATCTCTTCAAGTAGATTTTCAAGCCCGGCACACAGGTAAACGGCGGAGTATTCGTGAACGAATCGTCCTAACCGTGCATCAGACATCCAACGATGAAAACGTCCAACAGATAACTGTAATCCAGCTCGTGATGATTTACTTTGGCGCAACGAGCTGTCACTCGGCACTCCAAACATTGCAGCTGCTCTCAGACATGCTTTGATACATGAATCAGCCAATGCTGGACAAAGAACAATTTTGAAAGCACCAGCTACTTCATGTTTCGAGCACAAACCGAATCCAGTTGATAAACGTTGAATTTCTCTGGCAACACGAACAAGCGCTCTCTGTAGCAAATAACCGAGTCGTGGAATGGTTTCAAGTGAAATTCGTTCTGAATGATCACGACATCGGCCAGTTCGAATGACTCGTAACAAACAATGCTGGCTCCATGGTGGATGTTGTAATTCAACAAGTCTGTTATGAGAATCAATCCAGACAAATTCATCAGCACTAGTTATATTTGTGTTAACCGTTTCTAATGAAGAATATCGTCCCAAACGACGAGGTTCCATTTCGGAACTGGCACTCAAGCTGCTGTATGTGCTAGTGCTTGTTTGCGAGCGTATTGTTAACTGTTGTATTGCTAACTTTATATCTTCAAGACCACCATTTCCGTTCCATGGTCCTTTTGCTGGTGTCGATCTATGTCTCACTCGTAAATGACCTGCACTTGTACTTGATCTTGTACTTCGATTCGTCACTCCAGCCGCCAAACGATCTTCTGGTAATGGACCTAATGCTACACCGATAAAATTGGTTAATTATAACAAATTTTCAAAGTTTTTTCATCAATAAAGAGTCATAATACTTACCACAGCCAGGTGAACTGCTTCCGTGTCCAGTATCAGACATACTTGCATGACCTGAAGATCGATTTTCGTCGGAAGAATCATGACATTCCTGCATACACTGTAGGTTCCGTGCCAATTCGTTTGTGCCACCATGATGATGTGAGCGCATAATTATCGTATTCTTTTGATGATTCAATAAGTTCTGTGAAATTTCTGTATTTTGTGTCACTGTCGATGCATTCACAGTGTTATAATTACTGTTGTTGGTGTTACTGCGGTTTTGTACATTATTGATGCCATTCATCATTGAGATTTCATTTAAATTGGCATGCACTAATTTGCGCTGACTGCTTAAATTCGAACTAAGCATTGGCGGCTGTGATTTCACGGGAATGCTTTGTATCGTTAGCTTGGCTGGTCCGGCGATTGATCGATGTGGAATTGATTTGCAGTTCCATGACTTCATTTTTATATTTGCATTCATCGACTGCCCATTTGTGTCACGTTCGGGAATCATTGTATTCAGATGTGTTATATTGCCATTAGTAGTACCAATTAAACAAGTAGTGCCATTTGAATTTCCATCATGACTTATTGTACTATCGATTGTATCCACACTTTTGGGCGACATTGTGTTTGAAGTATTTGTCGTTGATGAAATATTACCAGGAATGTTTGAAGGCGTTAATAAATTGAATTCACTCACTGATATTTGATCATTGGCTGCAATTACGAAATTATTTCTCAATAAAAAGTTAAAAATTGGAAAACTCACGGATATACCTTTTAGTCGATAAGCCACCTCCTTTGGAGTACGCAATGCTGGTGTTGCTGTAGCTGGGCTATGAACACGGATTGGTGAATTCACATTCATAGATGATGATATGGGGTGACTCATTGCAACTGAAGTTTTTATACCATTCGGAATTCTATTAATATTATTTACATTACAGGGAACTGTTGGTGAGTTTAGATTCGTTGAAACATACGCCGCAAATAGAGGAACATCTCTTGAATTCCCAGATGGTCTAATTGTGAAATTGAGTGAATAAATGAAGAGAAAAAATCAATTTATAGTTATTTATTAGTTCTGAAAATTCTTATGTGAATATATATATTATATAATCAAATATTATAGTACAGTAGTGTGCGAGGAAAATAGGGGTAAACCCCCCTCTACCCCACTCTGCACACTATTATCGTTTTTCGGACAGTCTGTGACTGTACCGTAGAATATAACGTAATCAATGTATTGATTAAATAATTTATTCACAAAGCTACTCTCAGACACAAAGTAATTAGAGCAAAATTCCATATCAATATGAACATATTTTCTCATATGTTAAAAGTCGACTTTATGAATATCATTCTATCTGCAGGTAAAATTCCGTCAATTTGTGTAATAATATCTTATGTGATTTAACGCTGTTATTCCTCGCTGTATAGATTGTGTTTTCAGAATTTGTTTTTTTTTTTAATGTTTTTCAGAATGTGCACGCCTAGGGGTTGGACACTCGGATTAGGAATCGTCATTTGCTTCGGATTCGTAAATAACAGTCGGATTCGTCGGAATATTGGAAATCGTCGAATTTGGTTTTTAGCAGTTTTTAGCATAAAACAGATCTGGATAGCTGAGGTTCGTAGCTTTCCAATGACATATAGATCATTACCTCACCTTTCATATGCACAGAAAATAGGTCATTCGATAAAAAACTGAAAAAGTGCATTCCACTTTTTTTCGAACCCAGACCTCAGGCACTTGCGCGACGAAATCGAAAAATTCGAAGAGACATGTAACATATGTATCATAAACATTGGCACAAACTGAGACATTTATTAGAACGCAATAACAAACACAAAAATGTCAACCAACGCACGTAGTGCATTTATCGGTACCTCGAGACTACTGTCAAACTCAATCCGACGTAATACATTCATTCGCGATGGTTTACAAATTGGATTTACGAAAGTCTGTCGCAAACTACTTTGGACAGCTAAGTACAAACGAAATTCTGCATGTGTCTAAAGATGATCCAATCTGTCTTCGAACCATGTATCGTGTTTTATTGACTTTATTCCCAATTTAAATGCTCAAACCCTTCAAAATTGTCATCAAGTACCGAAAACCGGGTTGGTCAAGCAAAAATTCATTTTTGGTGATTCTTATAATAATAATAATAATAATAATAATAATAATAATAATAATAATAATAATAATAATAATAATAATAATAATAATAATCTTTATTCACCGCCAAAACTGGCTGAATCTTTTGAGTTTATACAATTTTTTATACATTTGTTGGTGGGAAAAAGGTATGAATCAGTGATATACTATGGTAAACATCTGATCACCGTTAAAAACCACATCTTTTTAATAATAATCTTACGACCGCATACGATATTCTAACGGTCACCCACACGGTCCACCAGCCCGGGTCAGTAGACCGAATGACACTCAGCCACCATCCCAGGCTGCACGGTAAAGGTAAATAGACCGAATGGGGTCGCCGAATTCGCAGCGGTCACTACGCCCCCCATGGCCAAAAGTTAAAATTACATCTTTTTATAATAAATAAATGAATAAACAATTAGCTACGTCTTACTGTAATAGCCAAAAGTTATCCCGTCAAACAGCAAAAAACACTTATAAATAAGTAATATTTTCAAATTGCACCTAGGGGGTAGACACCTATGAATCCAGTGTGAATTATTTGATTTCTATGAAATCTTTGATTCTTGCGATTTCGGTGATTTCTCGATTCCAAACCTCAATATTGGACATAAAATACACTTATATACAAAGCTAATTTCACTGTGGTAGTGTGCGCCTATAGTAGAAGTCACACACATAGTGTGTGTGCGGTACAATATAGTAATATACTTATAATTGAATATACACAACATTTGACAGAAATCACAGAAATCACAAAAATTGAATTCTGCGATTTCTTTGATTTTAATGATTTTTGTGATTTCTGTGAGTTTTGATTCTACGTGCCTACCCCCTAGAATTGCACGCGGATACGATGAGTCGGAAACTAATAAATAAATATAATTTTAAATACTATATCTATATAAAAAATAAATCACAATGTATCACATTTGCTCGTTTAAGAAAACAGTGTTATAATTGGACACCAATGACAAGTTTGAAAAGTGATCATCGCTTAAGGCTAAAAGTCGATTTTTGAAAGTTGATCTCTTTAATTGCATTGAAAATAGTTCGTGGACCCTATTTGACATTTTGCACATCTGGTTGGGTGGAACGGATGGATTGATACGGAAGAATTTGTCATTGATTTTGAAGTACTCGACACTTCTCAAGTTACGTTCATTTTGATTGCGGGCCATTTCAGTCTTCAGTGATGGGCAGTGAACATTATTTTGCATCAAGTCGAATATGAATAAAATTGATGCGTTTATACGGCGCCTTTGGAGTGATTGCATGTTTAGTTTCTCCAGGCGAGTGCTGTACGCTGATATCCCGTAGTCATTTGAAATATTTGGATACTCCTTGAGAGCAAACATTGAGAATTGACGCAGGCACGATTCGATTTTGTTCTTGTGTATATCATGGTACGGGAGCCATACCAAACAGCCATACTCCAATATTGATTGCACGAGAGCACAGTATAATGACTTGAGAGTATTGACATCAGGAATATCGTAGCAAAATCTCTTAACGAATCCGAGTGCTGATGTTGCTTTGACAACGATTGAATCGATGTGTTATATAAAGTTGAGTTTGTTGTCAAAGATGACTCCCAAATCTCTTTGTTCACTTACTCTCTTGAATTTGTGACTGCCATAAGAGTATATAACTTACGATTTGATCTCTCTTTTTTGAAATTGACATAACAGAGCATTTGTCAAGATTTAAATGAAGTTTGCTTCGCACCAATTTTTTAATTTACTGATTGCAACTTGAAGTTTGATACAGTCATTGGTGTTAGCGATTGAAGTTGCCAATTTCAAATCGTCAGCAAACAGAGAGATAAAAATGTCGTCATCCCTAATGGCATCTACAATATAGTTGATAAAAAGCAGAAATAGGGTGGGGCCCAAGTGACTTCCCTGAGGAACTCCTGAGTTTACGACAAACTAACTGGACTCCATTTGCCCATATTACACGAATTGACGACGATTTGACAAATACGATTTGATCCATTCGATTAAGTTAGGAGGCAGATCGAAGTTTTGTAGTTTTGAAATAAGAATCGAATGATCAACAATGTCGAATGCCTTACTGAAGTCAGTATAAAGAACTTCTACCTGCTTATCTTCGTTCACTGCCTTGATAGAATAGTGCAGGAATTCTAAAAGATTCATCGAATTCGAGCGGCCTTTTATAAAACCATATTGTTGTGGCACGATTTTATCGGCTACCATCTTGCCGATCTCCAAATTAATCAAATATTCGAAAAATTTGGCGATCGTTGGCAATTTGACAATGCACCGATAATTTTCAACGTTAGAGCGTGATCCCTTTTTGAATATTGGTCCAACGCTGTAACGTTTCCATCTCGTAGGAAAGTGTCCAGTGGAAAGCGAATCATTGAAAATCATTGACAGCGGTTCGTATAATAAGGCAGCACAATTTTTAAGAAGGATTGGATGAATTCCATCCGGTCCCGCGCCTTTCTTAGAGTTAATTTTTAGTAACTCGTCAAAGACAGAGAATTCGTTAAGAATGAAATTATTTACGTTAGAGTTTGTTTGAGTTGACGCTTGTGCTGTCGATTGAATTTGAGATGGTTGATTTGCAAAATTGTTTTTGAAAAATGTTGCAAACATTTCAGCTTGCTCCATCTTATCAACCGATGATTTGTCACCATAATGCAACGATTTTGGGTCGCAGTCACTGTTTTTCTTCGTGTTGACAAAACGCCAGAACGATGTAGGGTCGGACTTCAGTGAAGAAGTCATTTTGTCGACATACGAATTGTACAGTTCCGTGTTAAGTTTGCTGTAATTTTCGAGCGCAAGCAAATAGTCAGAGTCATTGTTGGTTGACTTCGATCTTTTCCACTCCTTGTTCTTTTTATTTTTGAGAGACTGGAGTTGCTTGTTGTTCCACGGACATTTCGATGTAATCTTTTTCGTTCGAAAAGGTACGTACTTTTCAATCGCCTCGTTAATAATTTGGTGCAAAATGTCAACTTTATGATCAAGAGGCTTATTTGAAAAGTGTTCAGAGAAATAGATTTCGGCAAAGTACCTATTCATTGCAATGTAGTCGGCTTTAAGGAAGTTTCGAGTTGGAATTTGCTCTTGAGTTAAGCTATTTATGTGCCATTCATACGTCAAGAGAATAGGTGGACGATATTGTTCATCAATGGCAGATAAAGGCGGCGGACAAGAAACATCGACATTCGTGAAATCGTTTGTAAATATTAAATCGAGCAGTTTATTACTAGCATTGCGAATAGAATTAATCTGATAGACACCATTGGCGGTGATGTCTCCGATAAAATCCGCCGCATGCTGTGGAGTGACGCAAGTTGGAATGAGAACATTTTGTTCATCGTCATCCATAATCCAATTGACAAGGGGTAGATTAAAATCTCCCAATACAATAATAGTGTCAATTGGGCTCGATGGAATGTGGCTTATGGCAATCGAGTGGCGTTTGTATATTTCCGGCTGTGAGTTTGGCGGAATATACGCAGCATAAATAAATACATTGAGTTTTGTATTAATGCTGACTTTAACGCAGACATATTCCAATTTACTTGAATCATCGAATACAATGTTGGTGGATGTTAGTTTTGAGGTGACTGCAATGAGTACACCACCACCTTAACGATGAACCAGTCTCAAAACGATCCTTACGGTAAACATGGTATGAATTGTCAAAGAATTCTGACGAAAAATGAGATTGGTTCAACCATGTTTCCGTTAAAACAACAATCGAATGTGCAAATGCCGACGAATTGCAGAAAAATTGTTTTGATTTGGTGCGCAAGCCACGAACATTTTGATAATAAATATCATTGCACACCAAAGTCGTTGGAGGAGAG